GGTGTAATTTCATCTATCAAATTTACCGAGTTTGAATTTTGATTTCTCGGTAATCGTAAAACTTCCGTCAAACTTGAAAGACGCTATACATTCGATCGTCCTATTTTCGATATTACAAATGATTATTTAATGCCATTTTATCCATATTGAGTTTCCCTCGAAAAGAGACTTACATTAGCATTATTTAATATTTGATTATCTTAATATTCCATTTGCATTTAACTTTTATTCTTAATTTCAATAAATAATAAATTAATTGTGCATAATATAAATATAGGTGGAGTACTGTGATAATCGAATATTAAATAATTCGGTAATTAGTCTTTCTTTAAGAATCAACGTTGAGATAACAAGTAGCCATTTGTAGCATTAAAGTGGGACATTAAAGTATAGTATTATACTATAGGACAGTAAAGCATAGTATTATATTTTGAGATTCCGCATCGATCCTTCAAATTCGACAGAGCTCGCAAGATTAATATAGAATCAAAATCTCAACTTCGCGAGATCACGGGTTTAACGAGACGTGAAACTTGAATCTTGAATTCTGGAATATCGTTTCTGCGGCAACTACACCGGGCGATTCTACCGATGCAACTCCGTTAATTCCACCCTTCAGACGCATTCTGGACAACACATTTAGTTTGCAGTACGAAGGTTTCGGGTGTGCGAGAGCGTACGGCTAGAAAGCAAAGAGATCACCTCGCAATCAAGCGATCGCCGACCTGGCCGTGTATCGAATTACATCGGGAATTGCATTGCTGCAAGCGGAATTCAATTTATTTTTTCTCAATTACTTACGCTCGCGAACTCTTTCTCATACTTGTTTCCCCGAAATCGCGCCGAAATTACACACCCAAAGGCTGCGAGCGACGGGGGACGAAAGGAAAATATGGAAAATTTCATTATCCGTACACGTTCTTCCTAATGAACACGCGTAAATTAAAACTCGTTTCATCGGGGGAATACTATACTTCTATACTTTAGAATGGAATACCGGCCCAGCCGAGATTTGGAGGAGGCTAGGCATGCCCGGGCGCACATCTAAATTAGGCCGCTCAGCTAATCTCCATATGCCCGGGTGAAGCCCAGGTCCTGCTATCTCGCTGTAAAATATACCGCAAATTACACTGTTAATGCCCATTGAATAAAGAATATAAGGAGGGAGCGTGAAATATAAAGTATATCCAAAGCGCTTATCGATATCTGGGAGTCGAAGCAAGTTTTATGACGTATCTCATCGAGTAATCGGGAAAACTACGGCTCTACATTATATTTGTTTATTAATATGCACAGCACATGTTGTTAGTTGTTGTTCGTGTGGGATCTCGCGAGAAGAAAAAGATGTTCGGAAACATCCTGTGTGTAAATACATTATTAAATGTATGTTGCTTAAAATGAAGTAATTGCATGAGTTGTTGATTAAAATTTCAACATATAAGATAATTTTGTTATTTTATGTGTAATGTTATACCTTGATTTATGTATAATGTTCTGTAATGTAATTATACATAATGTTCTGTATAATGTAATTATGTATAACGTTCATAATCAAGAGCGTGGTATAACATTGTACATGAGATTATAATAAAGTTAACCTATGAGTTGCAATTTTGATTCACCTCATACAATTCTTTTATTTTCAATTAAATATTTCTAAAGCGTCTTTAAGATTTCTTGTATGTACATTTCCAAGAATTCAAATTATATCGTAATTTTCTTCCGGTAGCTTCGATTATGACGTAATTACACGTCATAAAACAACATCCAGTTTGACTATCGATAACCCAGCAATATCGCAATATGCTTCTTCCTTATATTTTTTATTCAATGTTAATATCTGATCAAGAATTTCTCTCGATTGCACCAAATATAAAATATAAAGAAATCAGCATTATCGAACTGTTATTTGATTGAATTAAGCGCGGAACATGGCGATGGGAACGATGCGAGCCGCGTTATCGAATTTTCTCAGTGATTAGCTTCTCTATCTACATTATTACAAGCACTTACGTGCACCCGGGTAATTTATTCATTCGGACGCTCTGGGAACGTTACGCGTGTCAAGTATTTTCGACTCTCCAACGCGATCGAATAAAATATCGAAACGTATTGTTCACGTCGCACAATCGGCGTATTTCAGTCACGTAGTGACGGTTTTTTCCGGCTAACGGTTTAAATCGAGAAGCTACGTAAAAACCGTGCAATACTATTTTTTCCGCCATTTTCCACCATTTCTCGCATGTTAATTTTTTTAATAGCACTAGAATGCGTGTTCTGTTTTCAGTCCACTTTGGTCCACTTGATGTTTTCAACGAGTTCTTTGCGGTCGACGCGAATCGTTCGCGCGACGGATCGACCGCGCGAAACGCGAAGTAAATCGACGATTATCCGCATCGTCAATCCGCTTTGGACTCAGTACTTTAGGAGATGCCAAAGTTTACGACGAACTTGGTAAGAGTCGATAACGTAGAAGCAATCCTCAAAATATTATATTATATGAACACTGATACAATCAAATTATTCTTTTTGTATTTCTCGCACATATAGATCTTACGTAAATATAAATGCGATTTCTGTATCAGGTAAATATTTACATGCGGAAGGATATGCTATTGAATTGGTAAAACTTCCAACAATTGCGTAATTGGAGTAAATCTTGATTCAATAGCAAATATCATTAAATCTATTATGTTATACGTTGTTTTAATTCCAATTACGCGTGCTGTTATAAATTCTATTGACTCAACGGCATTTTTTCTCCGTGCTAATTGATAACTAAAAAATGTCACTTTGAACATTTTAATGATTTTCGTCATTTACTGAGCAATACTCCAATTTATTTTAATGCATACTTTCACCGTGCAAAAACGTTTGTAATTCCGCGCGAGCAATAAGCTGTGCAGAAAAAAAAAATCAGTATTCTGTCGGTAAAGTTTTCAGGTATGGAATCCCTTTAATTCCCGTCGGGGGCAACCCTCACCATTATACCCGATTTTTCGAAAGTGAATCCGGCCAGACCGTCGTTTTTCGTGACGCGTCGCGCCTTGACAAACGCACGCCATTATACCGTCGGTATATCGAGCAAACGGGGCTATGAAAAATGCCGGGAATGATATTCTCGGCGTTGTCACTTCGCTGTAATCACCTGCATCAATTAAACGTAACGGTGCCGTTAAAGCGACATCACACAACGAGCGGCGATTCCTTTTTTCCCCTCAGGGAACGCCAAATCGGGCACGGATAAAAGACCGGCGGCGTTAGTGCGACGAACACTTCGATATCGGCGCTTAAATTTGGCGGACGCTTCGCACGTACTGCAATCCGCGGTACGTGCTCACGCATTATGCATTCAGCTTTCCCCGCGCGCGCAGCCATTATTCGGGGATGGTGAAATATTATCGCGACGGATTTGACAGATGCCACGCGCGCACCTCGTCGCGGGAGATTACCTCACGGAGGTGATTCGCGCGCCTGAGCGGCAATATTTCAGAATGAGAAAACAATATTTCCCCGTCAGAAAGCGATCCGGCGCGTTTCTTCGTATCCCGTTTATTAAGTGGCACAGAGTGCGACGCGAGCCGTCGCGAGCGCGGTAAGCTTCGTCGGATACCATTCGTGAGTCGGCAGGTATCGAAAGTCGATATGTCACGCGGGAGCTGCGAGCGGAGACTCGCACAATTGGCGGAATTTTTGGATAACGAGCCAAATATAAAGTCCCTTGAATGCGACCCGAGCCGAGCGTCGCGCTCCCGAGCGCGAATAATTCCACGTCTCTCCGGCTTTACCGTCCCTCAAAGCAACCGGACTAATCGATAATTCCATCGATCCCTTTGTCTGCGACTTCAACAATAACCGCGGTACCGGGGGAGATATTAGGCGAACGTTATAAATTAGGAGACTTACGTAGAGACGCGAATGCTCTATATTTTTAAAGGGCGAATTATTCACCTCAACGTCTTTAACCTCAATGTCTCTTTAAGAAACCGGATTAATTAATATTCGGTTCGATCGATTCGTTTATCTTCGATTTCAGTAAGAATCGAAGAGGATCTCTCAGAGACGTGTAATTTAAATATATATAAATTAGGAGCTACGCGTGGACTAAAACACTATTTCTTAAAATACGATCTTTTCTCTTTTCCATTCTATTTTCTTATCCCTCTCCCCCCTCTTTCCCTCTCTCCCTCTCTATCTACCTAACTATTTCTCATAGCTATTAGTATTCTTTCTTATGTTGATATTAATTTCTCCATTTCTTCCATTTATATTTATATTTTCTTCTTTACCGTGGATCAGTCGATATGGCGTGCTGGGTTTTATTGTATTAATTATTAATTTCTAAATAATAATTTATAAGGCTGTAAAATTCTGAAATTATTAATACAAGGCCGTTAAGTGCCAAGCAGGGTAATTATAGCGCCACAGGAATTAAATTGTGACTATGTATAAATTTCGATATCGTTTTATTGCTACTGTAGATTTTGTAAAATTATTATTTACTATTAATATATTTTTACTTATTGTTCATTGCATTCTCACTGCATCATGTCATTGTTGTTTTCTCTGATTGCACGCTTCGCACTGGCTGTTCAGCAAAAAATACTTTCTACGCCTAAGAAAATATTTATATCCCTGTGGGGTTAATAAAACTACCTCTCTTTTCAGTCACAAATTGGTCAATTTGATTTTGAAATACGATCAAATATGACAGTATCATATAAATAAACAATAAGCGTAGGTGGCACGGATATTAATACACACATTGTGGTAAGCTGCAAACAAAACAACGGTAAATTGCAAATTGCATTAGCTCTGCGTGATTAATGCTGACTTTGACATCACCGCGACGTCAGTCAAGTGATCAGTTATTCCATATTCGATTGAATTTGCGTACGAGAGCCGATGCCAAGCAAAATACGACGTCCGTCACTCGAGCCCGGATGGCAAAAATGCAATTCGCCGCTTGGAACGCGCTTGATGCCGGTCAATCAACGTACCTGGAAAATTAATTTGCAGTAACGTGAAATCCTCGTGACGCGAGTTCTATGAAAATTTTCCGGGTAATTGTCGAGCGCCGGATCTCCCGTTGTTCACGCTCGGCTAAGCCCGCGTAACCTCCATGTCGTTCTAGTTGGGAAGACACGAGCGTCAACCCGAAGTGCACACTAACTTGCGACATGCACTAAGTTCTTCGTCAAAGATTCTCCAGGACATGGGTCGCACTTGACACTTGAGCGCGGTAAATAGTTGGACATCGACACCACGGCACTATCACAAGATCCTTTCTTGAAGTCCCCGCCAATTCTAAGTCCCGGGTGAGATGCGCTCCTCTCGAGTCGTTCTCGTGAAAATTTCAATCGCGCGCGTTGCAGAAGTCGTTTGGAAAAATTGTCCGGCGCTCCGAGAATCGTAAGAAGTCACCTCCTCCCCGGTGAATTAAATTATCGATGAACCGTATTCACGAGACTCTCCGAACGGTGCATCAGTTGCTAAAATATCACCGTTGAGTCGCACTCCTATTAAATGTGATCCTTCAATCGCCTGGACACTCTTGTCTCTATAGTCTCGGGGATACTTAAAGACCGATTTCTCTCTGTCACCAGCACACGCGAGCGCCCGGAAATTCACTGGCCGAAGTTCGTCGGTCTCGAGACTCTCTATCGAGATTTGAGTCACGTCCAGGATATCTTTGGAGATCCCTTCGCGCGGCCGAACTTCCAAAGCTGGGCCTTTTCTCGTTTTCCGTTGCGATTAATCACTAGGCCGCGCGACGCCCCACTTTCACATGCAAATTTTCCGCATGAGAAAATTCCAGGGATAATCCCTGCCTCCCTCTCCCCGCCTCCCTCTCTCTTTCGTCGGAAATATAATCGGAATGGAGTCGTCGGATTCCGTTCGGTCAACGGGATGCAAACTCGTCGGACATTGCCGTTTGCCGCCACGATCGCGGCATTCAGCGAGGGACACGTAGAAGCGCGAGCTCTCTCGCGCGATGAGGACGCGATTTCTTTCGTCAACCCTCGACGATGGTTGCCGAGACCTCGTGCGCGTAACGTGGCCGATCGAAATCCACGTGTGACATTCGAATTCCTCGACGGCTCTCGGCCGACTGACCGAAAACGCGGCTACCTCGCGCGCGCCTCGTTATCCGCGCATGTGCCACGGCGAATATCAGACGATATTTTAATGGAAACCTAGAAAAATTGCGGTTCTGCTAATCAAACATGGTACAGTTGTTGATTCCTGGGAAATTTGCTCGCCGCTTGTTTGTTATTGTTCTCGAATTCCTGCGGGCGAACCGCAATTAATTGCGAAAGATGTGTTTTCATTTGCCTTCGCTTTAATTTATTTTATCGTACACCACATCGATCGTGATTATATTATTGAATTAAGTGGCAATTACATATTTATCACACACTCGTGACTTCAGATCTAATTGTGGAATATATTTATCTAATATTACCTGATATTATAATTCATTATAATTAATAATCTCCACGTGAAAATGGAAAAAAGAATTGGCAGAGTCTGCGATATTCTACATATTCAAAACTGGTATATCGTTCGATATCGATAACCTTTTTCTAATTTCGCAGCAGAGTTATCGCGACACACGCACACATAGAAATTTACGAACGCGATGCAGAGATTGATGAACATGTTGATCTCACTCTGACCAAAATCCCATCGGTCGCGAATAAAGTCGCGAGAATTTTCCCCCTTCTCAGATTGATTAAATTTCGTCAAATTCGCCGAAGACGTTTCCTTCGTCGAAACGGTAATTAATCAAGCCGGCATTTCATGGATTCGCAAATCCCCCAAGGGCTTCCGTTTTTATTGGAAGAACAGCCGTGTCCTCCGTGACTTCTCCGTGAAGAGAAACGTCGGTTGGCTTTACGGTAAATTCGATATGACTGCGATATTGTATGCAAATATATTCTGTTTGGTCCATAAAATGGGAGAAGTTTTTTTAGAAAATTGGAATTCGAACATATTTTCTAATAAAATTCCTATTAAAAAATTTTTGAATAAACTTGGCTTCCTGATACAAAGGTGCTTTTCCGAGATTTTTCAACATCAAAAGCGTCAGTGCAAAATAAAAATACGTTCCCCAGTCGTCGGGAAAGTTAGGAATCAACAGAAGTACAATATTTTTACGTTGTTAATTAAATCGATATTACATAAACTAAGTCAAATTATAAATAACTTTCGACGCAGAGAAGATGACTTTCGTAAAAATTTAGTTAGCGAAATTACTCATAAAAAGTTGATATTAGAATCACCACCTCTTTGGCCGATATTTATATTATATTACATGTATCGCTTTATGGCGTTTAGAGAATAATAAATCTTAGAGAATAAATCTTTTTCCAATTTAGCGAAGTCACTTGCTAATCTTTCCAAATTGAGCTTGCTTTTGAATTAAAATTCTGGTCTAAGTTAGTTTAGAGTTAGATTTTAACTTATTTCGATTAAATTTACCGTAGTTGTCTACTCTGTCGAGTCGTCGAGTACGAAGTTTTATAACGTAACAGCTTTCATTACCTGAAGATTAAAGGTTACCATGCCTCGAGACTCTCTTTGCCTCGTTCCGCTAACAAAATACTTGAAAGTAATCGCCGAATTCGCTGAGATCGCGCTTGGTTTTGCAAGGAATCAAATTTCACTTCTCCGCTGGTGGATAACGAGAGACGCGAGAGATTCGCCTATTTCGAGATTCCTTCTTAAAGAGACGCAACATCGTCGAAACTCGTGAAATGCAGTTCAGCTTGCTAATTGCGAGAAGGCTGAGCTCGCACAGCTGGAAAGTAGGTTACGTTAAGCCCGGTTAAGAATGAAGGCGGACACACTCGTCAAAACGAATGCGGCAAAGCTTACGAGCGCATCTGTGTTTGCTAGCGCGTCCGTATAACAAATGAAATGCGATACCGTATATTGCTCAACAATTTCTGGGAAAATTTACTAACAAGTCGCACGACATATTGCAGTATATCCACATATAGTAGTATTCTGACACATATTTTTAACACATCCCCGCACTATATATATCTTTCTTTCTGTCGTACGCATGGAATATACATATGTATACAGTGTCCAAAAATTCCTGCGTACGGAGTGTACAGGGAGATATTTTATACTAGAAATAATTTTCTCCTTAGCGAAAATGTCGAGGAAGGTTATTATTTATAGTGACTTTTCAACTTTCAACATGACACATTTTTGAAGTTAAGCCTTAGATTAAAATTCTGTTAAAGTCTACTTGAAATTGATCGAGGGAGATAATTTTATTACCCGCTTGTTCGACCGGAGCTTAGCTCGCGAGAAACCCTATTTTTGTTTCCCGGATACTATTGTTCGAGCGCAATTTTGGCAAAGGAAGAAGTTACTTCTTTTGGTGTCAAAGATCTCTCTAAATTCCGCATGCGGGGATTTCGGGACACACCCTATATGTGTGTATATATATATATAAATCTCATGCGCAGCTTTTGTACAGTTTTATTTTATTTATTGATATACGATGCTGCAGTGTCGGCGGCGATGAATAATTCAAAGTCGGGGCGAGCTGACGCTTAAGTAACGAATGCGATCGAACGTGTATTACAGTTTCGTTATGAATAAAGAGCTTTTACGTACAAAATTCGGCCGCCCGGTACTCTTACCTCCGCTTTTGTGCGTTTGTGCGCGTTTCGAGCCGTTCTCAAAGCAATTTCCGCGCGCACTCGCGTCTCGGCCCAGAAAACCGCGAAACACTCTCTCTCCCCCTCTCTCTCTCTCTCTCACTCACTCTCACCCCACCACCAACGTCGCGATTAAACGATCGTGGGAAGCGGAGGATCTGAAAAGAATTAATTAAAATATTGTCAATGGAACGGCGAGGGCACGAGGGGCACTTTTGCTCCTTGAGAAAAAAAGAGATAACGCTTCGCTCACCTTCGAAAGAGCGCGGGCTGGTCGCGTTTTTCGCGTCGCGGCGTCTTATTCGCGCAAAACTACGTTCATTATTACCGGCTGTTTCCGCGGACTCTCGCAAACGCGAGTTTGCCGTCAAAGCGGTGCCCACGTATGCACGTGTGCACAGCGACACGTCTTTTAATTAAATATTCAGCCCGAACCCAGCCCACATTCAAACGCGTTTTGTCCGCCTAATTGCTGCGCTTATGCTCGATGCTCGAAAGACTCGGCGTGATGATTAAAGGATTGAAGTAATTAAGAAATTGGAGTAAGATATCGATTTTCCCAATGAGATGTCAACCCCTACGGCCACGCGCACGTGTCCTTTACTCGACTCACTACGTTGTGGATTTAATCCTGCGGGTCACGAAAGCGCATCCGCGACCGCACGCGACGTTTCCTCGTGCGCGCATACACGCGCCCGGGGTCATCATTGCGGCGGGTGCTGCACGCAGTGGCTGTCGTGTTTCGTGACCGCAAAATCACGGCGAGCGGTCGGGCGATTTTCGAACGTGTCCGCCGGCTCGAGAAACCGCGACGTGTAGGAGAATTTAATGTGGGTTTATATTACCGACATATAATACGGACAGACGTAGCGCGATTACCTACTGAATTACGAGGGGGGAGAAGGGCGCCGCACATCGAAATTATGAGTGGATGTGGGTATCAGCCGGGTGAACAGAGAAAGAGAAAAGAGAGAGAGAGAGAGAAAGGGAGAAAATGAGAGAATTGACGGGAGCGATGTAAGAACGCTCGAAACAGGCGGGTATTGATCTGAGAACGACTTGAATTCTTCAGCAATTCTCTCGCGTGTCTGTATGTGTCGAACGCCAGATGGTGGATACCACCAGGCCTCGGTCAGCTCAAGATTTATCACTCCGCGAAACTGTACCGTCAGCTAGAGAGCCAGCGAGAGGGGAAAAAGAGAGGGAGAAAGATGGAGGTGGAAGGAGAAAGAGAGAGGCGTCTCGCTCGCGGCGCTTAAATGTTGTATTAACTCGTCAACCGGCGTTGAATGGTGGAGCGCTTTAATTAACGCGAGATCCGGTATTACGCTCGTTTCGATTAAAGTCCATAGCGCGTAAAGCACCGTCGGCCAGTGTTTAATATATATATATATATATATGTATGTGTGTGTATTTATATAGAGTCCGCCACCAAAATCCGGACAAATTAAAATATCAAAATATCCCGCCTCATTTGACTTCGATGGTAGGTCGTTGTTAACGTTCGGACATGTCAAATGTTTGCAGTAACCTCAGAATGTCCAAGCAGATGATCGAATGCGGAGTATAACCGAAGAACGGCGATAATCGAAGGCCGTCGCGCTGGGCGCTCGCAGATCGAAGTTATTCGGTTTGTTGGGTACCCGAGATCGACCTTATATGAGTTGCGACTAAATATATAATAGCCAGGACGAAATTTCCGGCCTCTGTTCACGTCCTAGGCGTCGTCTCCAGTGAGGGTCACGTCATGCCGCCACATTTCTTTCAAAAGAAAGAAACTGTCACGAAAGAGGTTTATTTACGCGTGTTGACGAGGGTAGTGAAGCCGTGGATAGATACCGTGGCCGCCGGGAGGCCGTACGTCTTTCAGCGGGACAGCGCGCCAGCACAAACAAGTCATTTACTTCAAAACCGGCTGTAGGATAATGTGGACATGTTTTGGCCCAAGAAATCCTGGCCTTTGAATCCATTGGATTACTACGTGCGGAGCGTCATTGAACGAGTGACCAACAAGTTGAGACATCCCAACGTGACATCTGACAGGCCGCTATCGAGGCGGCATTCGCCAATATGGGCAAGGACGCGGTTGCAGAGAGCGTGTCAGCGCTTCAGGACGAGGATCGAAGCAGTCATCGAAGCAAAAGGGGGTTACATAGAATAATTTTACTCTAAAAAGATACCGCTAGTGATGTATAAAAAGTTTTTTTGTAATTTTTACACTTCGACGAACTGAATTTTGTTTACAAATTGTTCATTTTGTCCGGATTTTGATGGCGGGCCCTGCATATACATGTACATGCGACGCTTATATCCTCGTTATCTCTGTCATATAATTTTCGATATATTTTAATAAAGCAAAATCGTTTGTGTGTACATGAAAGAGACACCAATCGAACGGTGATCGGATAAAAGGCGGAGGAGATTTATGATGTGAGAAATTCGCGAGATCAGAGTTAATCGTTTTTTAATTTGAAACTGACACTGAAGGAGCGACGGAGAAATGATACGGGATATCGTAATGTGTCGCGGAAGGCAGTATTACCGCTGCTCGCTGCATATTGTTGCTTAGTAGCTAACATACGTTTGCTATCTTTCACTCTTTAACGCATACATAGCGGGGCACAAAGATCGTGTTAAGACTTGTAAAGAGATATCTGTAACGAGTAGATGTTATTTTTACAGCTCCTGTTAATTCTCACTTTTCTTTTTTATAGCCGACATGATCGGCGATAGATCGATACGCACGATGTCCGGTCATTGGCGCGTCGATTCGCCAACGGGCGATCGATCGAAGCTGTAATGACAGGACACTCTATATGACCCCGGTTGTCGAATATTTTCACATCTCAGTCTGCAAATTGACTCGTTCGCCGCAAATTTCAACGTAGCCTAGTCGAAATTGATATTTTTTATAGCACTATAGAAAGACTAATAAATCTATATGGAGAAAGGGATTAAAATCAATTCAAGACTTACATTCTTATATACCTATATTCTTATATGTAAACAAGAAAATATAATCTTACGTGACGATAAAACTTGCCTGCATGAAGGTATTTTCTATTTAACCCTTTTAGTGCCGAGCAAAATCGTATCTATGCGAAGAATACTGAGCCAATTTGACGAATTTGCTAAGGTTTGGGAAGAAGCTCATAAAAACCAAACTAAAAATGATATTTACAAAATTCAAAAAGCAGCATATTACGAAATAAAGAAAGAATAAAGTAATGCCAATTGTATTTCAGTATTTGTTGAAAATCATACGAATAACATCAATATAAAACATGATGAAAAACATAGAAACAAGTTTCTCTTCTACAAACAATATTTGCACATAAGAATAATCATCGTTTGATCACAGTTTTATGTAGATCACGTAGTATGAAGTATAAGTATTACATTTTCAATTATTTTTAACAAAATAACTAATATCGGACCTGAGAACGAAACTGTCCCGTGTCGAGTTTCTATCTTATCGCTCCAGTGTATACAGAGCCTCGGCACCAATCAGCATAGAATATAACAAAAAGTTAAACCCAAAAACAATTTTTTTTAATTCTTTTGCAATGAAATTAGACCGTTTATAACGTTTTATAAATTTATTTTGACATAGAGCTTTCTCGCAATGCGAATAGTAAGACGCCTTCGGTTACGCTACGATATATCGTCGTTCGGCATTAAAAGCGTTAATTCCACCAAAAATATCACATTCTTGTCATTCAAGAATAATTTTTGTGAAATGGGAGGAAAAATGTTGGATACAGGAAGAACGATATCTTCAAATTGATACAATTCTTAGTTTGTAAATATAGTTTTTTCTATCCAATATTTTATTACGTTAAATTTCACAAAATTTTTTACTGCGTGTTCAATTTCTTCATGTAAACAAGTTTTATCTTGATATAATAATAGGTTTAATAGGCGGATTCTAACTCAGGAACTCCGAGGGAAGTACGAGAAAGGGGGTTGCCGCAGGGCGCGAGGGCTGACGTCACGCGCGCGGGGACTGACGTCACGTACTGTATTACCGACCATTGTTATCCCGTCCAGCAGTCGATATTTTTCCAGCGATTGATATTCCTCCAGCGGCCGGTAAACGGACCCCTCCAGCGGCCTACGTTCGATCGCCACCCGCGACAACGTTGCGCTATTATCCAGCGAAGACAAGTGGCTCAGTTTCGACAACTACAGCAGGAAAGAGCGGGCCTCATTTGTGGTGTATGCAGACCTGGACTGCACGCTAGAAAAGATTGCAAAAGACAACTCAAAAGAATATACATTATATCATCATAAGATATTTAGTATAGGATATTACACGCGTTGCTCGTACGATAATTCATTATCCGGATATCATTTTCATCGCGATACCGATTGCGTCTCGTGATTCGTCGAGCCAGTTGGAAAAATTAGCGCATCATGTAAAGAATATTTTATCTAATAATATTTCCATGGAAACTCCGCCGAAAGATCGGTGGGAGACATTTCATAGCGCAACGCACTGTCACATGTGCGAGAAACCACTCGAGACAGATGATACGAGAGTGCGCGATCATTGCTATTTTATCGGTCGCTTTAGAGGTCCCGTACATTCAAATTGTAATTTAAATTATAAGAATTTATTTTGTATTCCCATAGTTTTTCGCAATTTATCAGGTTACGATTCGCAATTTTATTATAAAGGAAATAGCTAATACGTTTGAAGACTCAATTAATATGCTGCCAATAATCAAAGAAAAATATATTTCAAAGTTGCGAAATTGCATACAGTTACGATTCATCGATTCGTATAAATTTCCAAGTACCAATCTCGACAATATAATTTATTCGAAATGAACTCAAAAAGAATTCCTTTCTGACATTTCGAAATGAATTTCATAGAAATATAATAATATTACTGTTGATTTCTTACAGAGTTAATTGAAGTTGTTCTGAAAGAGTCCTTCTTTCTGTTCGTAATAAATTCAAGAAGAATTTATTACTGGCCAGACAATAAATTAATTGTGTTTGGTTTTATAAATCGAAGATGTCAGTTTGCTCTGGTTGCTCCAGGATAATCGTTTCATTAGCTAGCATTATTACATTAAAATAATCTTAAGGACAAACCGATTCACAACCGCTGAACGCAGCTATTACCACAACGTAATACGCATGCGCAGTCTGTGATAGTTTTCCGAGGTAACATTGCAATGTGCTTCTGTTTCTCTGGTCTTCCCGCTATTTCCCATTTCCATATTGATGTTATAATATTGGTTGTTTTCCATATTTGTGACGACGTGCTCGGCATTAGCATTAATAAAATTCATCATTTATCAAGAAGATGAGGAGATCATGGGTTTTAAAGATCAAACATTTTGTCAAATCTGAATAAATTCATTGCAAATAGACATAACCTCCTCATCGCGCATGTGGTGATGATCAAATCTTGTTTTGATTCCGATTTGTACAAGGTCCCTGCTTGGCTCATGCAGGCATTTTATCAAGTTAATAACAAACTTTGAGTTTGTTCTGAAAACGAGAAGGAACTGGCCCGTCGCACCTACACATTGCTGAAAGTAAGTGATTTTGCATTAACTCAATTTCTTACCTCTTTGTGTGTACTTATGTGCTCTCACACTCATATATTTTTAAATAGAAAAATTACTGTCTATTGATATAATACTTATACGCCCCTGTTTGTATAACGTTTGTATAACGCATTTATATATCTTATTGATTGTAATGATTTAATGCTTTTCATGGGTGCCTTCCAATAAGTAACATGATGTTGTACAAAGCTATTTTATTGGCTACATGTTATCTAAGTTGTATTCTCAGATAATATGTAATCAATAAAAGCTTCGTGTAACACCATGTTTCTTTTTAGAAGGCGATATTCCTCAGGACTAGTCATTTTTATTTTTCAAATTTCCTTGTGATACCAGTTCTCTACTTGAAGCAAAAGTTGATTAGACGATGAAATTATAAGTAAATTATTAATTTCTCTCTTAAGCTTCTTCATATTTATTTAAGTTTACATTGGTAACTTTTCCCGATATATTACATTTTATACTTACGTTAAATTACAAATAAAAATGTTTTTATGTATATTGTACATAATAATCATTTCCTCAGAAGACATTAAGGTGGAGTGTTTTAAAAAGATCTACTTTAACATGTTACAACAGTCATTGAAAACATTTAAAAAGAAATTAATCATGATATTTTCTATTCCATCATCATACAAACAAACAACTGTCTTTCTTTTTACAACCCACTGCAGGCGAAGCAGAACAGCGACAAGAATAAATTAGCTATGATGAATATTAAAATCCAGTTTATATTTGTACGTTATCACATAAAATAAGACAATATGCAGTAATAATACGCAACACTTTATAAACGCTATAGAAATAATAAACAAAATTTCTATTTTAAATATTTTTCATTTTATAATTTCATCAGACGACATATTTAATTGAAAGTAATAAGTTTCTCGTAACTTTTGTTGTAACGAAATTTTAAAATATTTTCTTCCATAACGTTGTTATACAAATAATAATCTTGTAATATGTATTCAAATTTTTTATAACATTTATATTTTCAGGATCAATGACCGAAGAACGATTTATGACATACGAGGGCAAATCAATAAGTACCCGTGTTTGAAGACAAGCGGCGTTGCTGATGCAATTTGGCAATACCACCGTGTACGTAGGCTGCTGAAAAAGTTTCTGCAATCTAATACTTCCAATGGCGCCAACGTTCTGTTACTATCATATCCGTAAAATTAGACGTTTCTAACTTATAATTCAGTTGACAGTTTGTACCCAGCCAACTAGTTTTGTTTGCATAGTATTTTAAAAGAAGTTATTTTGTGAGAAAATGGAAATTTCGTGTGAAAATTTTCGGTCAATGAGTTTTTACGATTACAAATGTAGTCTATTTCCGAAACAATGCATCGATCGACTTCATTTGGCTTTTGAGGATGAAGCACCATCCAATAGAACCGTTTATAATTGGTTTGCCGAATTCCAGCGTGGACACACCTTTCTTAGTGACGAATTTCGTGAAGGTCGTCTATCCACGTCTGTTGTCACTAATGTTGGTGCGTGAAATGATTCAGCGAGATCGGCATGTGACATATCGCGAGATTCAAATTTCGCCACAGTCAAATTGGTCGAATTGCGCTACGAATTACTGCCGCATCCACCACCGTACTCTCCGGATTTGGCCCCCTGCGACTTCTTTTTGTTTGCAAACTTGAAAAAATGGCTCGGTGGAGAGAGATTCACGTCGAGTGAGGAGGTCATCGCTGAAACAGAAGCTTATTTTGCAGAGTTCGACAAATTGTATTTTTCAGAGGGGTTAAAAAATGGCAGGGGCGTTGGGAAAAGTGTATCCTCCTGAAAAGGGATTACGTTGAAAAATTAAAAAAAAATTTGCGTGAGAAACTTGCGTCTTCATTACTAACGGGTACGTAGTGATTTGCCCTCGTATTACAAGTACCTCAACACAAAGTTAAACCATATTATCAATTTATCGATTATTGAAAAATCGTTATACATACGTGCCAGATAAAATGGATGAAGGAGGAGAGTATTTTGCCGAACTTCCCTTTAAACACTGTACAAGAATTTGAACGATTTCAACAAAATCTCGTCGAGCCATTGGAAGTACAAAAACTATATGTACGAAATCATTTGTCATACTTTTTTGTATAATACTACTACTTTATATAATACTACTTTTGTATAATACACAAATCGTAATGATGTATCTGTTTTTATTTTCACAGATTTGAGAGATAAAGATGATCGGAGGGTTTGATCCGGACAAATTCATCAGAGCCACATTGCGCTTCTTGATGTCGGATGAAGTTAGTATTATAATATTCCTGCTCAGAAAAACAGAATTCTAAAATTTCAAAGTACTCGAATTTCTGGAATTATTATCCGAGTTAATAAGCAACATTTTCTTTTGTAGTTCTTAGATAACCAAATATTAATGTTGAATTCCTTGTATAATATCTACATATCTAATTGCAAAATGTTATGTTGCAGAAACCATTTCTAAGATGATGAACGTTCTTAACACTTTATCGACCGCTAGCCTATTAATCGGCTTTTTGTCGCCAACGCTCATCGACCGATAGCATATTAATCGGTTTTCACGGTGATAAACAGTATAATTATATAAACAGTTGTTTGTTATTTAGTATTGAAGTAAAACTAGTTGCGTTGCTCTGTAAGCTCCCACATTTTTATATTATTTTGAAAAATTTACCGTTCGCGATGAACGAAAAAAAAATTATTGGAGAATTTTATTTAGATGATCTATCAGATTGTCCTGACAGTTATTCAGGAAGTGATAGTGGTGATGAAAGTGATGGCAGCGATATAATAATTGGGAAGCGAGGTTCAGAAGACTATGAGATAAGTAACGTCGAAGGCGATGCAAATAACGTTAGAGATAACGATGGCATATGGTCGACGAACGATGAAACAATAATTTTGGAACCTTTCGAAGGCAGCCCCGGCATAAAAATTATGCCAAGTTCTCCAGAAAGTATGATGGATAGTGTCAATTTATTCATTGGAAATGACTTTTTCGAGTACTTGGTGAGAGAAAGCAATAGATATCATTATCAGGCCATGGAAAAATATAAAATTCCATCAAGAGTGAAAAAATGGACAGATATAACGGTGCCGGAAATGAAGAAGTTTTTAGGGCTAATAGTTTTAATGGGACAAATAAAGAAGGACGTTCTCTACAACTATTGGTCCACTGATCGAAGTATAGAAACTCCATTCTTCTCACAAGTAATGAGCAGGAATAGATTTGTGCAAATAATGCAGAGCTGGCATTTTTGCAACAATGAGAACATTTCTCATAATTCACATAGGCTTGCTAAAATTCAGCCTGTCGTCGATTATTTAAAGCAAAAATTTATCGATGTATATAAACCCTGTCAACAATTGTCTTTGGATGAGTGTGTAATTCCGTGGAGAGGTAGACTTTCGATTAAAACGTATAATCCCGCAAAAATTACAAAATACGGAATACTTGTGAGAGTGCTGTGTGAAGCTGTCACAGGATACGTATGTAACTTTCACGTGTATGCTGCTGATGGCAAAAAATTAGAAGACACTGTTTTAACGGTTATTGAACCATATAAGAACATTTGGCACCAGATTTATCAAGACAATTACTATAACAGTGTCAATATGGCTAAAATTCTTATGAAAAATAAAGTGCGAGTGTGCGGAACCATTCGAAAAAATAGAGGTCTTCCTCGATCACTCCAAATAATACAACTTTCAAAAGGCCAGTATGAATTTCGTAGAAATCATCAAATTTTGTTGGAAGTATGGAATAATGGCAAAAGAAACGTCAATATGATCTCAACTATACATTCTGCACAATTAACAGAATCCAGAAATAGAAGTAAAAAATCAAACGGCCCCATACAGAAGCCTAGGCAAATGCCTAATTCAATCGTAAATTATAACAAATATATGAAGGGCGTAGATCGCGCGGACCAATATCTATCGTATTATTCCATTTTTAGAAAAACAAAAAAGTGGACTAAACGAGTTGTAATGTTTTTTATCAACTGTGCACTTTTCAATTCATTTAAAGCATACACAGTTCTCAACGGAAAAAATATTACCTACAATAATTTCCTGCACAAAGTGGCAGTTTCGTGGATAGAAGATTGTGAAACTAATTGTACAGAACAAGATGACGATCTACCTAATTCTGAACCCACAAGAAGAACACCCAGATTAGACCATCCCGGAAGACTGTCGAATTTCGGAAAACATAAACTTATAAATATAGTGACCAGCGGTCGAAGTGTAAAACCTCAAAGACAATGTAGAGTTTGTACAATTAAAAAAAAAAGAAGTAGAACATGTTTTGTCTGTAAATTTTGCAATGTTCCACTACACAAAGGCGACTGTTTTGAACGATATCATACTTTAAAAAAATATTAAACTATTTCTTATTTGAAGTATGTCAATGTATGGATTATGGTATATTATATAACTATTTAACTGAAAACCGTTGTAATAGATAAAATAAATATAATTTAGCATTAATATCATCAAAATAAAAGAACTTATTAAATCGAATTATCCTATAATAATAGAAAACGGGCAATTTTATCTGAGCATACGAAAAGCACAGATACTCCCGCGCGACAGTCTAAACCGAAACAGAGCCGGCGCCAGGAAGGATTTGCGGCCGAGCGGACGTGCGTATGCTGTTGAACCGCTAGCGGTCGGTAAAGTGTTAAGTAATAGTGCAATATCTTTTTGTATCGACTTTAATATACTAAAGTCTTTTTTTTTTTTTTAGGTTGTATATTCTCGATATGCTACCCCATACTTTCTTGTGTAACAGACTGTAAATGCTACCTCGAATTCATTACGAATTCCTATGGAGTATAAAAGGAATTCTTCTTGCATCTGAAGAAGGACTCACAAATGGTGACGCAAAAATGAACTCTTTTTGAACTTTTAAGAATAATTTTAGAACAGAAATGCGATAAAGAAAGAATTCATTTCATAATTTACGAGTTCAAAAAGAATTTTTTTCGAATTCTTTTTGCTATCTGGGCGGAGGATGAGCGAGAGATATTTTTTATATTATCTTTATTAATTATTTGTTATTTGTAAAGTTTATGAATAAGTTTTCACGCAGAGTTTTATGGTGACAACAAATGTTTTATTTAACATTCCGATAATTCAGTGAGAGAAAATAAAATAAAACATTGACAGGATGCAATGTGCGTTCTTGTTCTATTTGCCCGGTGCATATTTTTCATATAAATGTTCTGAGCTACAGCTCCGTATTGCCAGATATGACAATATCGACTATAACTTTTTCAATACGATATTTTTATATATCTATATTATTTATTAAAAAAACACGGAGTGCCCTAATGTTCAGATTAATATATTCTCCGATATTATTCACGCTGATGATTATCAAGAACAATTGGTTTTACAGAAATTTGCAATCGCTAATACCTGGATGGCCCATAATGCAATATTAATTCAAATTTATTTATTTTACCGCTTCACTTATCGTTAAGTTCTATGACAGCCTTGGTTGCTCGTTAAAGACGGTAACGGCTTGTAGCGGAGATTGCAACTAATAAAAATTAACGGGTCGTTTTAATCGGAATTTAGCGGAGAAGCAAACCTTATTTAACCGACGCTTGAACCTGTTAGCAGAAACAGACTTCTTGCGACACCGCTAGATGGCACTAGACAGTCCTGGAGTTGCACTTTATTAGATCTAGCGGAGATTCGGTTATTATTCCAAAAATTGTAATTCCAAAATTTCCGCTACGAGTCGCCACTACTTTTACTAACAACTCAAGGTCGTAACACGACTCAATAGCTGGTCAGACGGACTTTATTTTTGAGTAGTACGACTCAACTGCGGAAGAAAAATGGAAACTTTTATCCTTGAACAAAATAATAATCGAACATTTATCAACAGGATAAACTTTGGCTTCTATCTACTAATGAGAAGCAAGAGAATGTCTGGGTGTTTTGACGTTTAATTATATTGTTACACTACTGAAAAATGAGATGAAAGTCACAGACTCCTAAAGTCAACTCAAATAAAGTAGCTATATGTATAGTCATAATAAGTAATAGGAGAGTCTATGAATGAAAAAATTCAACGCGTTGTTCAACGATTAAATCAGATTTTCTAGACGAAAAGTTAATGTTAGACTGAAAGTGCAACACCTGTCAGGATTTTTTATTTACTTGTTGAAATCTCGACACATTTTTCCCCAAATTACCGATATACTTCTCTATTCATCTACTCCCGACCAATCGACGTTGATTCTCCGACGGTAATTTTCACCAAACTCCGATTAAACCAATCGACGATTAACCGATAGGATCGTCAGAAGCAACTATGTCATTTGTCTTTCGTCGAAAAAATAAAAAGTCGGTAATTTTCTATCCGTGGTGATAAAAACTGGCTTGACCAATAATGACTTGACACGTATATCGTGAGAAGAGAGCATGAGAAAGAGAGAGAGGGAGCACACTTTCTCTCTCTCTCTCTCTCTCTCTCCGTTTAATAACAAACTATGCTTTATCTTCCATGTTGGCAACTCTGTTAAACGACCGTTACGTTAATCCGTAGTTTCGCGAAAGTCGGCGCGAGGGGCGGTCGGCATCGGCCGATAGTTTCGTGTTCGGGAAAGTAGAGACGGGGGATCCGATGCGGTCGAGCGCGATTTCGGGAACCGGGCCCGCCGCGTAGAAGGCGCGTGTCGGCCGGGGAAGTGCTTGTCCGTGGTTTCGCGCGCGGACGGAACGGCGCGGCGCGCGAATAATTTGTCGCCGGCGGCGGCGACGGCGGCAGCGATGGAGACAGCAGGCAGCAGGATGAGGAGAGTCGCGGCGGGACATGGCGCGGCGACGGGTAGCGGCAATAAGAAGGTAAGGGAAAAACCGTTGGTTTCGAGCGCGGAAATTTATGGGTCGCGACGTGTCGACGGAAACCTTAAATTTTAACGTTCCTGTCGCGCGCGAGAGAGGAGAGAGAGAGGGAGAGGGAGCATCCGCGCTCGCAGTCGGGGTCGGTCCTTTTGCGTCGGATAAGGACCTGGGAAAGGGGGATTACGACGCGGAGTACGCTGCACCAGGGTGCGCGGGGGTGGACGGCGGAGAAATGTAGGAGGAGAGAAGGGAAGCGAGAGGAAGAGAGAGAGAGAGGGACAAAGCGTCACTAGACGGAGGGGAAGAGAGAGGGATGGAAGAAGGGGAGAAGGGTGGATGAACCGGCGACGGTTGCGGGTTATAACGCGGTGCAGCTCGCGCGGGGCATCCGAATAAAATGATAATAAACCGCGCGTCGGGGCGACGGCATATCCGACGGCGCGCGCGTTTCGTCGCTCCTGGCTTTCGGCGACGCGTATTCCCAAAACACGGTGGCGTTCTAACTCCCATGTCCATGCCGGCGACGATCGCGCGAGGTAAAACCGTGGAGACGCTTTTGAAATGAAACTCAATATGTCCGGGCAGAAGGGAGACGCGCAGAGAGTGTTGAAAATTGAGAAAATCTGGCGGACGAGCCGCGGCTGGTAAGAAGTTTCTATTGTTCACGTATCAAGATACTTACAGTTAGATACGTCAGATGATGAAAACCCAGCAACATCAGCAACACCGACTAACATACACAAGTAACGCAACATCGATGATATAATTTCCCATTGGACAATGTAAATGTAATGTAACGCGCATGTTACGCAACGGTTACATTGTTGAGTTGGAAAGTTATGGAACGTTGTGTTGATGTGATTTATGTTATTTATGTGAACGTTAGTTGATGTTCGCTGGGAGGATGCAGGAAAATCGTCAGAACGCCTACGACGGCGTCGTTCAGCTTGCATAATACGAAAAGAGCACCGAGTATATGGGTGTCTTCGTCGATCGATCGTTGGGAAAATTCCCCGAGATGGTCCGTTGCATCGCCGACCCGATCTCTTATCTAACTTTTGGGATTTGTCGGCGGTGCGTTATGGTGTAATAAAGTTTAAGTAATTTCGCCGCCGGGTCGAGTTTGCCCGCGCCCGTAACGCAGTAAAATGTCGGCGTTATAAAAGATTAGAAAGTACAGTGCACACAAATGCGTTTTAAGGAGATAAGACAAAAGAGCCCGGTGTGCGATTGCCTCTTCTTTTACAATGGCTGAAAATCGCTTATGTAAAACGGGCAGTTAGTCACTTCCTTCGATCGCTTCTCATAATTTCGGTTGATTCAATTTCAATCAATTTTTAAAATATTCGCAAGACCTTTGTGCACGCTCGGTGCTTTTATACTTCCTTTGTTCGCGAAATATTAATGTATATGCGGTACTAGTTAATTTCAAACGAAGTTTTTACATAACATATGTACTTAATTTGTATTTCTCTTTGCACATATTCTCACATAACACGAAACTATACTGTTAATTGAACTCGGAACACGATTAATTTGAACTTTCGGCCTGCTCTCACCTCTCAATTTGATTTTTTATATATATGAGAAATTCTCTACGTTTGAACTTTCATACAGTACATCCATACGCAACATTTAAAATGTACCCATCTGGATTTTCTAACACCAAAGGTACAAGCGAAAGTAAAATTTATATCGGATATTTCATCTCCGATCGATCATGTTCCTTTTTTTTTTGCGGTAATGTGAGCTTAAAATTGAAACTGTAACTTGAACTACTAAGAGAAGAGAAGACAAAAGAGATTTGTAAGGGCAGAAAACGAAGCGTCTTTCTTTTTTTTTTCTTTCTCTATTCTTCTCGCTTTGTCTCTCTCTCCCTTTTTCTTCGTAAATCTTCCATGCGTGTAACTCATCTGACGAGGAAGCCGCGGCACTCTCGTCGCAAGCGGAGTTGTTTATGCTTTCCTGTGCAGCGCTTTCTGAAATATGCAAATCGCGAATCCGCATAATGGCGTTATCGCGGTAGGACACCGGCGACGACGACGACGATGACGGCGACGACGCCGGCGAGATAGTTGAATTCACCTCGCGAATCTTTCGCCGACTTCAAACGGCGCGCCCCGTTCGTTCGACGAAGGACATTGCGTTTATCGCATCGCGATAAATGCACGATCTGTCATTCCCGGCGCGAGTCGCGAATCCTCGAATCCGAAACGAAGCTGTTACCGCGTCAACTGGAAACCACGTGTTGTGATGGCGAGAATGGCCGTCGCGATGGCATTACGTGTCTCCTTGACATTATGTGTAACGCTTGGCCAGCATGTCCAGGAAATTACATGTACTGCCGATACAGAGAAGCTCGATCGAACGATATACAACGAGCGCGATCAAACGTCGCGCTTACTTGTATCGACACACATACATGGGCGCAGCTTTCGGTTCGATTAAAATAAAAATCGAGAACAGCGCCAACAATAAAATCAACAAGCGCGTCATCGAGAACACATCCGAGTGGAGCATCGGCGAAATCGAACCGCCCCTTTCTCATTGTTATCGTTACACTTACTATTCCCTCGGCCTGTCGCGCCGGTGAGACCGAACCGAAACAGAACAAACAGATAGAAATACCGAAACACAGTATGCAAACATTTAATATGTATTTTGTGACGTCACGGTAAGAGCACATTGTTTTCAATACGCTTGTTTTAAGAAACACTCTCTTATTACGCCTCAATTTTTATCCAAGTATCGACTTCTTTTATCACCCGCAATAATTCCGGATTAACTGCTTCTCTTCTCTTTCCGGCGAAATAAGCAGCAATATCCGTGGCGTCGAGATACCGCTGAAACATTGCCGCATCATTTTCACGGCATCCCGGCTCGAAATTTCAGTTCTGAGTCGAAATCTAAGTTCGAAATTCTTCAAAGATCTCCTATTGCGCTTCCTTCGACGCTCCAAATGGGAAGTCATTCCCGTTTCCTCCGCCGTCGAAGACGTAGAACCGAATGCAATAACGCCGAACTGCGATTTCGGGATCGGGCGATTTCTCTTTCACACCTGGAAACCTATTCTCGATGCGCGATGACGTGTCACCCTCGCGTACTTACATTAGCCACGAAGCGGACAAGATATGTCTTATCCGGGAAGAAGGAGAAACCGTCTCTCCGTCTTTGTTAACATCTTATCGGCGTGCTCGGCGCTTTCACGGCGCGATAAAGCGCGGGAGCGGGCAGCCTTACATATTATAATTGATACGTTACAAGCGCTCCTACACGCCGGATAA